GACCTCTTGCCACCCTCACAGTAAAGAATTTCTTCCTAATATCTGATCTAAATTTCTCCCAATTTATACCCATTACTCCTTGTCCTATCATGTCCCCAGTGAGGGGTGTCCCCTTTCACCTACTGCTGCATCACGGGCACCTTGGCAGCCTGGCTGGGGGCAGTGTGGGGGTGTGGGACAGCAGCCAGACAGCTGTGCTTGCTCTCACCCTGAGGAATGGCCACACTCTGGTAACTCCATCCCTCTCTCCACAGACCCTCAAGATCGTCCGCACGGCCGAGCTCTCCCCGTTCATAGTCTTCATCGCCCCAACAGACAAGGCAGAGGAGGTGAGTGGCAGTGTGCTGAAGCTGTCCCCTCCTGTCCCCCTCCAGCTGGGCTTGCCAGCAAAAAGCCCAGGGCTGGGGGGCAACAAGCCCACTGCAGCAACCTAGGACTCTCCCTGCTCCATATCAGCTTCTTTTTGTTTGCTTTTATGTCGGTGATCCAGGAGAACTCAGCCCAGATCAGGAATTGCCAATTCCTGCAGCTGCAGGCTGTCTCTGATTGACACCCCCAGCAACCATTATCCTTGCAAGCATAATTAGCTGCTCAGGCTTGGTGGGGAGTACAGCCCAGCACCCGGGGCAGGACCACTTATCGAGCCATCAGCTATGCAAATGGACACAACGAACAGCCGTTCCTTTCATTCTTTGCCTCATTAAGATGCTGATCGCTTTACCGTTGGGATGAAAGCCGCACTGATACCACAGTTAACTCACTCAGTGCCAAGCACAAGGCTGGCAGCCACAGGCTCCCTCTTCCCAGGAAAGGCCCCTGAGGCAGGGAGCAGTGCTGCCTACCCTGCCCTGCCCCAGCCTGCCGGGGAGATGGGAAGTGATGGGACAACAGGGAAACCCAGAACTGTGCTCCTGCTGGACTCACGAGCAACCGAGGCCAGCTCTCCAAACCTATTAAACTGGCGTTTGTAAAGCTTAAGATACAGACAGTTTGCACAGAGGATATTTAGAGGTACATTGCAGGTATTTATTTAGAGGCACAATAACGGCAGAGGATTGCACAGCCATATGCAGCAGGCTGGGGAGAGGGAAAGCAAGCCTCAGAGCAGAAAGGTCCAGCTGCCTCCACCTCCTGCCGTCACCCACGGCTGCCTCCAGCCAGAGGAATTGCCACCTCCTGCTGCAGTGGGCAGGGCCAGCGCTGCTGCCAGGCTCTATCTATAGCCCTGCAGCTCGGCTCACTCTCACCAGGGGGATGTGGCAGGGTTAATGTGACCCCGCAGAGCTCACATGACCCAGGTAAACTGCTCGTAGCTCTCCTCTCTCCACCCCTGAGAGCTGCCGGCGTCATCCACAATATAGGAAAAATTAATTATATAAGAATAGATGAATATTCTCAGTAACTCTTTCAAGGTGAAGGTAGCTAAGCAGTATACCTTTTTTCCCCTGGGGTAATTGTTAATTACATTTAGAGTTTGTTATTGTTGAACTGAACGCCTTGAAGACCTAAACTTGCTGTGCCCTTAGGGAGGGTTTGGTGTTGCAATATTACTGTGTTGTCTGGAATATGTTTTTAGTGCTGACCACTGAAGGTGTCAGTCTTGTGATCTATACACAGGTATAAAGAAAAAGAAGGGAAAGACATAAAGCCTTGTCTGATTTAGATATATTAATACCTGATTAGGTCTATTTAATCTATTAATAATAGATATAATATCTATCTAGATCTATTAACATTTGCACACTGCAGAGCTCACCAAGCACTGTACCTCAAGCTATCCCCTACTTCCTCAGGCACAGCGGCATTTCGGGCTCCATGAGGGAGACACGTAGAAATCATCTGGACCCGTTTTTGGGGGCAGAGCTGCCTGCAGGGCTGCGCCTCCTGCTGGGCAGCCCAGCCACACCGTCAGGAGGGGGTCAGGCAGCTTTGCTTTTACTCTCAAAACAAAGCAGTAAAACATAGCCAAGACCAGTAGAGAGAGGCTAGTAAAGCTCTGCCAGCTGGTGCTGTTCTGGCCAAAAGCCAGAGGGAAGAGACCATCCTGCAGGGATCCTACCTCCAAACCAGCCTGAGGCCTTGAGCTGGCTACACTACATAGCACAGCACTGCCTGCTTGCTCCGTGAACCTTCTCCCTGGGGGCTGCCACAGAGCATTTGGAAGGTAAAGAGCAGGTCTGGCCTCACTCTAGCAGTTAACCTGATGCTCCAAACATTGCATGGAAGTCCAGACACAAGCTCAGAGATCACACAACAGCTCCTGGCTTAGACAAGCTGCAAGGATGCTCTGTGCTGACACCTCACAACCACTTTGGGTGGTGGGAGGGAGTTTCCTTCCCTGTTGGGATGGAGTGTGCAATTCGTCTCCTCCCCAGCCTCCTGAGCACTCTCCTATTTCTTGCAGTCAGAGGCTTTGCAGCAGCTGCGGAAGGATTCGGAGAGCATCCGGAGTCGATATGCACACTACTTTGACCTCTCCCTGGTCAATAATGGGGTGGAAGAAAGCCTCCAGCTGCTGCAGGCAGCCTTTGAGCAGGCCTGTAGCTCTCCACAGTGGGTGCCTGTCTCCTGGGTGTACTGAGAGGGCATCTGACCCCAGCTGCTTCCCATCGACCATCCTGCAGCCATGGGGAGAAACCTCCTCAGCTTCCCCTGATCCACACACAGCCCAGCACAACTCCTTTCCTTTGCTGCTCCATGGACATGGTCTCAATTGGTTGACACACACAGAGGATGCCCAGATCTCCTCTCCTGGGGGAAGGAACGCAGGACAGGGCTGCCTGGGGGACAGCCACCTCCCGTGGCACTGCAGGGTAAGTCAATGGCCACAGCAGACCCCTGTTGGCTCAGAGCACAGCTCCCTACCTCACGGGGCAAGGGAAAGCACAGTCCTGCTGTAGCACCCAACTGATATTCTCTGCATCAGTCCCAGGGGAAGTGGCAGAACAGGGGCTTTCCCAGTAGATTTCTTCTGATACTGCAGGAGTGCACACTGTACCACAAGCAACTCAAAATCCTGCCTGGTGTCCATGAGGCTTCACACAGTGCAGACCAGAGCTCCTACAGCCAAGGGTTTCCTCTCACAAACTGGGAAGTGGAAAGAGGCAAGAATGGATTTAATGAATGTGTCATGCAGCACCCACCCCCAGGCAGGCCTCACCCTGTGTTCCAAAGTTGGAGTTTTCTGATTAACCCTCTGCAACCATTGGTGTAAAAACTCACTGTATTGAAATTCTCACCGTGCAGCTTGGATTGTTATGGCCTGGCCAGAGAAACTCAGCAGCAGCTGAGGAAGTCCCACAGACCAAACCCCAGAGGGACTGTTCAATGGGTAAATTACATCCAGCCACAAGTATCTGTTGCATGCAGTACATGTGTCTACAAGATCATCCAGGCATGTTTTCCAGTCTAGGGTGTCTCACACACTGTATGCAGACATGAAAGCCATCCTCACCATGGGGTTCCTTCTACAGGAGTGTACAGACGCACAAGCTCCACCACACCATGTCTGGGAAGTGTCACCATGTTCCTGGGCAAACCACAGCCATCATTTAAGTGAAAAATCTCATTTGTGTGTTCAGTCCGTCAGCTATAGGGGCAAGGGGAAGGTGGTTTAAAGTCTTGTGCAATTTTTAAGAATGCCAAAAATAAAATCTATGTGCAATAGGGACCTTCGTTCTGATCCACTGCAGGGAAACTGAGCAGCAATAAATGTGCGCTGAAACATTGCCATGACTGGTGTTTTACCTCTTAGGCTGGGCACTTGCTCAGAGCTGGAATGGTGTCCCCACCTCCCTGACCTTAACACGGTCAAGGCCAAGCAGGCCAGGACTAAAACGGTCCCTCCAGCAGCTCACTGCAGCACAGGCAAAGGAAGAGAGAACACAGTTTCCAGGCACAGGCCCCAGGTGGGATTTATCAAAGTGGAGGGTCCTGAACAATAACGAAGGCCCCTCTGGTGATGGACCACATCAACATGACCATTTCTCCACGACAGCAGCTTCTTCAGAAGAGCAGCACAAAAGGCAGAAGGGGCAGCCAGCTGCACATGCGGTACACTGCCTCCCCTCCTGATGAACACACCACTGACCTCTTAGAGGAGCCAGATGAGCAAGGAAATCACCACCGTTCAAAAACAAAACTTTTATTTTTATGTAAAAAAAGAGTAAATCAAAATTGACTCATTTATTTCTGCAGCCACCAGCTGCTGTCCACACTGCCTGCATGTATCTCCAGCACTGGAGGGGAGGATAGTCAACTATTTTAACAAGACAAAAGCAATGCAAGAAGTTGAAAGTTATAGAATCTCTGCAGGGATGAAGCTCAGAACAAAGCAGCCTGGATCCTTTCCCATTAAAAGGAGGTAAGATCCTGACTGAGTACTACCCCTGTGACAGAGGAGAGACCTTCTGCCCCTAGAAAACCGTTCCAGATATGGAAATTAGAAATCTGTCTGAAACTGCTTAAGCCCCACACCCAACAGCCCCTGCAGAGCTGCCTCTGCCCAAGCTTTTCCTCACGAGGATTCCCATCCCAACAGCCCTTCAGAAAAGCACAGTGGCCAGTCACATCTTGGCCACCTTGCTTCTGCCCTCCAGAAACATCCCCACTTCCAGCCTTCAGTGCATACCGGGCATCAAAACCAGGGAAGGCAACCAAAAGCCCCGCAGTCACATTCCAAGTGGGCAGAGAAGACCAAAGAGCCAGCAAGAGGTACACACTTGACAAGGTCACCGGGACACTGGGTTTGTGAATCAGCTGACAAATAACACGCATGTCCCCATGGTATAAAGCAAAAAGGAGGCATTAGATGTTCCAATCTTTGTGGAAAGGGTTAAAAAAAAAGTACTGAAGTCTGGGTGGACTGTTTGACCTCATTTAGCTGAAGGTCAAGCCAAGCATGTGGCCAGGTTAAAACAAACTAGAGCCCTTCAAATAACCGAAGTGACTGTCCCCATCCAACCCATTCAGATGGGCCGTGACAAAGCCAGTACTCGGGCATCAACACATTCTGTGTCACGTAACAGCTCTGTCCTTGGAAGAAAAGGAAGAAGGAGGCAGTACAAGAGGGAGGTGAAAGATTATTCCACCCTCTTAAGGTGAAAACAGAGACACCAAGTAAGAGCCAGAGGCTACAGCTCCCCTGAAGATACCACTTCTATTGGCATCGTGGTGCTCAGCTTTAGAGACCAATGCAGTGCAGAGACAGTCAGGCACCCCACTCCTCTGGCAACCCTTAAAACAGGATGAAGAGGGGCACCTGAGCAGGGCTCATCCTGGGCAGACACACCTGCTCGCTCATAAACACAGCAGAAAAGAACTTGGAACTTGCTGACCCCTCCACCATGCAGCCAGTCATCCTCTTCTCAAGGCATCAGATTCCTCCCTCCCTACTGATGAAGTTGCCTGCTTTGGACAGATCCAGCTGCTTACTCCGAGCTCTCTTCTACCTCCTTTTGTTTCTTCTTTTTCTTCTTCTTGGTGCTGGTTTCACTGGTCTGTGGAGAAGTTGGAAAGGTCAGGAAATCATCAAAAAGGAATCCTCTACCGCTCATTTCAGAAGGAACAGCCCCAGCTCCAGCAGCAGTGCAGGGTCCCCATGGCCACAATCCCCCATCAGCCCCATACAAGCACTCGAGCACAGCGACTGAGTGCCAGCACCACCCTTCCCACCAGGGTGTACATGACAGGCCACCAGAGCAGAGGTGGCCTGGCAGGAACCTGCAGATGATTGTTCACCTCATCCCTGCCCCTCTGCAGATCCACCCCCCACAAGCCTCACTTGCCCTATCTGCCACCACCCTCAACCAGTTCAGTTTACAAGTGCACCTCTGTAAGAGACCTTTCTCTGCTGGAGGCAGCCTGCCACTTTGTGGACATGTACAGCAGGATGCTGATGTGTTTATTCTGGAGGTACTGGGGACAGCCAGCAATCTCTCCCATGTCTGGACTGTACCCAATTACATACCACTTCTATTTGCTCTTCCCCACTCTCAGCAGCCTCTTTGGCCTTCTTCTCTTTCTTCTTCTTCTTCTTCTTTTCCTTTTTGCTCAGCTCCTCTGGTGGTGGGGTGGTAGGGGATGGTGGGGTCACAGCCTCCTCACTTTCACTCTCTGACTCTCGTTTCCTCTGTTAGGGCAACAATGAGATGGAGCTGCAAATTGTGCTCTGGGTTGTGAGAAACTGCTGGAGCTCCAGGCAAGGAGCTGTTGAATGTGCTCTGACCTGGTGCCTAATGAAGGGCATAGGGACCTGCAGAGCCAGCTGGGAGTGGGTGGGTGTCACCCAGAGACTCTGCAGGAGCCAATAAAACACAGAACCAAATTAGCACTGGACCAAGAGGCATGTACAAGGTGTGCAGAACATGGGAATAACAGGGACACAGAGTAAGGGTATAAAAGCCTAGGATTCCTTTGTTCGGCATCCCTCCCTGGAGGCATTATTTGAGCCACTGTACCACTCTATTAAATTATTTATTTTCATAAATCCAACACCTGAGATTCTGCTGTGGGAGATCTGGGGTCCAGCTGCTTGTCTGGCAGTGTGTGTGGTGTGCAGGGAGTAAAACAGGGCACCTGTGGGTTCACTGGAGCTGCTGCTGTGAAGGGGCCTCAGTCCCAGCAGTGACAGTCTGAGCGCAAGTGTGACCCCAGAAGTGGCATCTGAATGCTCAGACAGGAAAATTTCCTTAACACTGTAGCTTGCATGACCACAACCCACAGTTCCTCATTCTTATGCTATGCTACAGGACTTGCACCCAAAGCACAACATCCCAGAGACAAACACTGGTCTGGGGGGGTGAGGCCTGTGACAGATCACCCTACAGCTGGCTCATGGGCCACACAACCACAGCACATGTGGCGGCTCTAGGTTCCCAAAATATGGAACACCCTGTGGAACAAGCAATCAAAGCAGTACACAATCAATCACCCAATACCAACTGCCTAGAGGAACAGGTGCATATCCACTCTTCATCACGTCCCAGAAGTCTTACAGCCAGAGAGCACTGACAATACTCACTTTTGGAAGCCTCTCGACCTCTGACACAGCTTGGTGATCAGCAGCTGCTTGTCTCTTGGAAGTATCCCTGAAAGAGAAGGTCCCCAGGCTGAACAGGACAGTTCTGCCTCATGCTGCTCTGCACAGGTACAAATCCCTGTCCTCCTCACAAGGGCTCTGTAACCCACCCCAGGGGCTCAGTGGGGAAGCTGATGTGGGGAAGACCTGCAGCCTGCAATGGGGCAGGGCAACAGCAAGGCCTCCCCCAGTTAATTTAGCAGACTGACTCCCTCTAAAACCACAAGCACAGGCTAAAAAGGGATAACTGTCTGCTCAGGGCCTTTCCTTCTGACACTGCTCCAACAGCAGCACATTCCCAGGACTGCAAAAAATGTGGCAGTACCCCATGGGTCCGGACAGCCAACAGCCTTGGGACAAGCCCAACATGCTCCACACACAAACAGCAGCACCCAACACAGCCCTTGCTGCACAGTGCTTCCCTCTGAATACCATGCAGGAGCCACACACCCTGTACTCACCTGTAATCCACATAGTCCTTCTTCCAGGAATCTGGTGTGCTCTCATTGGGCTTTCCGTGCTTGTCCAGCAGACCCTTCTGGATCATCATCCTCTTTTGACTGGCCTGAGAGCAAAGTGCAACAACTCAAACTGCAGCTCCAGGCAGGAAAAATCCTCCCTGGGTTTTCAGCCACTCAGCTTAAGAGGAGGGAATCCAGGAACAAACCAAGCCAACAACTACAGTTACTGATTTAACACTTTTCCAAGGGCCTTCTAACATATCACGTACAACATCCCCTGCACAGCAGACTAAACCTCAGACAGGAGACATCTTCATCAGTAAATAAGGGCTAATTTGTGGGTGAAATCACAGCAGCAGAATAATATGACTATGCAGATCATGGAGCTTAGATCTTTGGTTGGGTATCTCCAGCTTAATGACCTGCAGTATTTCAGCTGAACCACTCATCTGCAAGGTTTTGCAAACGACTCCAAGATGCTTGAAGTGTCCTGCATTACCTCACCTTTGCTGTGAGATAGATGTGCACGCATCCCCAAAGCTCTCTGCATTTCACCTGAACCACAGGAATGAATAAGCCACAGCAACACGACACTGAGTTTTAAGTCCAACCTGCATCACTCAACAGTAAGACCAGCTTGGCTGCAGTCAAGCTAGCACTGCTTACCTGCTGATTTCCATGACTACCACATGCCTGAGATGGGAGAGGAACCCAACAACAGGTGTTCCCACTGCTCTGGTCCTCCAAGTCATTTAGTGTCTCACAAGACAGTTTGCATTTTGTCAGTGTTGCAGTTGCACCAGAAGAAAACGCACCTCCTTGCCCAAGCCCACCAGAGCCATCAGCATGGGGTGATAGATGAAGGTCATCTTTGCACACAGTGCTAATGCCATCTACTTCACATCATTTGGCTCTTTACCAAAGGAGGGCTGGTGCTGTATAGACCTGAGAAGCCCCATGCCTAAACACCTGCAGTGGCCCTAGCTGGGCCTTGAGCAGAGCTGCCCAGGCTCCACTGGGAAGGAAAGCCTCACTCCCACTGGCATTGGGCTGGCACAGCCCTGGCACAAGGAAGTGCCACCATCATGGCTCTAGGACACCACAGAATTACACCAAGGCCCTGAAGACACAGGCACAGCTCTACTCGAGGAGCTTGGAATCCCACATCCCAACAGCTGGGCTCCCACCACCACCCTGGGACTGACTGCACCCCATGCCACTCACCTTGGGACCGAGACCCCATTTGCGGGGATACGTATCTCTCTCCATGATCACTCTCTTGATCTTTGCCACAATGCCATGGTCACAAGTAGAAATCACTGCTGTGGTCATCAAGGCAATGGCTGCAGAAGCAGGAAAGGAGATCGTGAACTTTTTAATAGCAGAACTGTGACAGCAATGCAGCAACCTGCTGCATTCAGCCTGTTCTGCTTCTGTCAGCACAAACAGAAACAACACCCTCTACCAGTGCTGGGAACAACTTCTGGACTAATGCTTCCAAGTGCTGCCCTGCTCAAAGGCAAAGAGCATGGCAGTCAGGGATTAATCACATCACTTCCAGGCATCTCAAGGGACCACATCACTATAGAAAGGACTAGAGCTGCTCCTTCGTCAGCTCCCAAAGCCTTCCACAGCCAAACCAGAGGACACTAATCCTACCAATAAATGTTTTTCTTGCTAGATCCCCAAGATGACCAGAGTGCAGGCAGTACAAACAACAGGGCTGAACAGCTTGGCTGAGTTACAGCTCCCCAGGCCCTTGAGCCCCATGGGTCTGCACAGAGCCTGAGGCCACACAACACTGAGCTCCATGACACATCATCTGTATAATGTCAGCACCTGTCACCTACACATCTTCTCTGAAGACCCTGGTTAGAAGAAAGCACCCTTTTGAGTCACTGCACAAAAGCCTGTAGTTGCTTGAGTCCCTCTGCAGTGATCTGCTAGGGAAGTGTGATGTACCAGGTGGCAGCATGTGATCAGACATCATCCCTCATCCCAGTGAGGTTCGAGCCCCCCAAAGAGGGGATCCAACCCTGCCAGCTCTGCTTCCCTCTTGCAGGCAGCCAGCCACACACCACAGCAGCCCCCAGTAGGACACTGAGAGACTGCAGGGTCTCTGGAGGCTGCACAGCACCCAGACCCTAGGACAGGAATCAGTATTCAAACCATCAACACTGAGGAATGGTGGGATATGGAACAGGATGAAAGACTTGGCCTGTTTCCTATAAGCATCACACAGCTCACGAACTCTTCACACCTTGCCAGGGATTGATGCAGGCACTGTTTCCTAACATCCTGCCCAATACCAACTGCCTTGGGCCCACAGTCCTCATCAGGAAACATTAATTAAACCTCCTGTGCATGGGGACTTATTTGTGATGCATTCACTGAAATGCAGCCTGTTATTTCTGCAATTATCTGGGCACAAGAAGAATGAGGAGTTTCATACCTAGGCAGATAGCTTCTCCTTTTGTGGTGATGACAACAATCTCCTGATTAAGCTCAATACCATCTTCATACCGCAGAACACCAGGCAGCATGATCTTGGCTCCATAGCAAATGGCATTAACCTGAAAAATATAAGGAACAGGAGGGCTTATAAGCTATTATGAGTTAAAACAAGGTAAGAAGTGACTCTGAGTTTTAGCTTTCCATTGTCATTCAAGCAATAATATCCCTAAGTATTTATTTTTGTCCACTGTATAGAACTTGGGGGTTTTGAAAGAAGTAAGCAAAGCACCTATCACAGCAAACAGTGGGTGAGGCAGATCTCTCATAACCACCAGCACCCTCCTCAAATGATGAGAGCAGATTCTCTGACAATTCTTGGCTCTTGCATCTTACTGCTGGGCAGTGGCTCTTACAGGGTTCTACACAAGTCACAATCAGAACAGTACTGGACATCATGTGGCTCTCGATCTCCCATTTATTGTATTAGCTGTACAAGTCATGAGAACACTTTGCAGTCTCTGCCTGCAAACTGTCACTGCCTCAAGAACTCACCGCACTATCTTTCATGACGAGCCTCTTGTGTGATGTCAGCAGCTTCTCCAGTGGCAGGATAACTCTTCGCAGGTAACTGTCATCCTTGGTGTTGTCATACAGCCACTGTGCATCCAGGACGTCATGCATGGTCACCATGTTGTCCTGCAGAGACACAGTCCCTCTAAACATTCCCACCAGTCACCAACTTGAAACACACACACACAAAAGAACATTCCAACAACTGAAATGCTCAAAGGGAGTGAAAAACAGATGCTCAACTCAAGCATCAAACACAACCTGGAAGAGGCAGGAAGAGCTTACATCAACAGCTTGGGGTCAGCCTGACTTGGGCTACCACAGACTTCAACTTTCCTAATCTCAGACAGCACTTGGATCTAGTGTATAAAACGTAAGACTTTTAAAATACAACCTAATTTCAATTCCTGGGACTTCTAGAGAAAAGTTAGTGAGCTGAAGTCTAAATTAACCAGCTCTTCAATCTGTCACACGGAATAAATTCTCAAGGAGCTGTTAAGCACCCAACAGCTGGAATTCAGAAATGACTGCCAGTGATTACAGCTGTGCTAAGAGTACAGATAGGTGACGAAGCACTTGCACTCTGATACTTCTGCATTGCAAAGAAATTAGTTCTGGAGCCTAGACCAGACTGAAAAGACTGCTCTAGTGCTGAAGATCACACAACACTGCATCTCCCAGGCTCACTCCAATGAAGCACATTCCCAGCACTGTGCATGGCCAAGCAGACAGCTCACACTCCTGAGCTCATGGAACGTGTGTTTTGTAGACTGAGAAACACAGGTGACAGAAAACAAACTTTCAGTCACCATGTTGCACTTCCCAGTCACTCACTGTCCCAAAGTCTAATTACCAGAACAGGAGCAAAATCCTGAACTGAACTCAACACTTTGGTTACAGACCATCTATGCCAAGAGCTTCCACTGGTCCAGGACTATTCACACAATTCCTCCCAGCCACCAAAACCTGTATCTTCTCCTAACACTGTGAAACTCACACAGCTCCAAGGAACTCCTGCAATTCTGACCATTTCAAATGGGCTGGTTATGGTTAGAGCTGCCACTCTACCTCCTCTCCCAGGATGCCTGAGCGGATTCTGCGGAGCTCTTGCATCTGGCCCCCCACACCAAGCAGCAACCCGAGGTGAACACAGAGTGTTCGGATGTATGTGCCTGCTTCACAGCTCACCCAGAAGATACCTGCAATGCATGACAGGACAGAAGAGTACTTAAGTAGGTATCTAGAAAGGAACCACATTTGGAGGCTCCCTTCAAGAGAATGGAGCTGTATGTCCAACCCTTCACAGAGCCATCAGCAAGGGGTGATAGATGAAGGTCATCTTTGCCCTGAGAGCTAATGCCATCTAATTGACATCATTTGGCTCTTCCATGAAGGATGTAGTACAAAGTACAAAAAATACATGGAATTTGCTTCTCAGCACACCAAAGTAAAGCATGAAAATTACTACTTGACAATGATTTAGGTCTTAAGACATCTGCCAAGTACACAAAGTATCACATTTCACAGAAAATGTAATCAGCTTTTGGCTTAATAGGAGAAAGGCAGGAAAGCTCTGTTTTACCTAATCTTCTCTCAGGATCATACTCCACCAGCTTGCTCTCATAAATGGTTCTGACTCTCAGCTGTCGTTTGACAGCAGCAATGAGGGGTGGTCGCTGAAACAGGGCACCTGTCAGAGTTTCTATTGCCTGAGGGAACAAGAAGTAATAGCTCACACCAGTGCCCTAATGTAGGAGAACCTCAGAGTCTCCAGAAACTATGACTTCCACGAGTGACAAAACACAAGGTTTATGACATGACCAAATTATGGTACTTAATAAAGCAAACCCAAACCAGTGATGTGGTCAAGATGCTGTCCCAGCTGCTAGAGAGCACAGCAGGGCTTTTTCCATCAGGTGGCAGCATGTGATCAGACATCATCCCTCATCCCAGTGAGGTTGGAGCTCCCCAAAGAGGTGCTCCAACCCTGCCAGCTCTGCTTCCCTCCTGCAGGCAGCCAGCCACACACCACAGCAGCCCCCAGTAGGACACTGAGAGACTGCAGGGTCTCTGGAGGCTGCACAGCACCCAGACCCTAGGACAGGAATCAGGATGCTGCAGGAGGGCAGCACCACTGCACTCAGAGAATGGATAAACTGTGTCATCACTTCACACACAACACACCTGAGCACCATCCCTGCCCTCTCATCTCCCACCAGTGCCCAATACTTTGCCTGCCAGGTGCCAGCATAGCTATGAGCACGTGACTTACCCTGGCTAGCTGGGCCTCACTCTCAATTGCATTGTGCAGCCGAATAATTCCCACATACTCTTTACCTGAAAGAAGGAAAAGAGCAGTCAGGAGTGGCCACTTGCATTTAATGTTGATCTCCAGGTCCACACTGCTTCACAGGGCCCTGAAATCCTAACGGCCATTTCTTTTAGGAAGTGTGTATGGTTCATTACAGAGCCAGTTATTCTTCCAAGAAAATAAACCTAAGCTATGCTTTTTTCTCCACTGAGTTTTATTTCACTGGACTGGTATAGGCTGAGGCTGTATGTTCAATTAGTACATGACACCATGTCAGAAGTGTTTTCACTGGCTTACACCAGCAAAAGCCCCAGAGAAGCAACCAAAAACCAACCGTGATATTATGGATGTGTCCTCAGTGGCACAGAATGACATGCAATCCTTCAGCTCAAGGCACTAAAGACCAAGGTTAGCCCTGTCAAGTACTAGAAATCTTTATTTTTTCTGGAAAAGCACTTCACAGGTCCCCGGTCACTGTACAAGGCCCTGGGCAACAAACATACCTGCACTCTGCTGAGATTTGACCAGCCGTGTTGCCCTCTCAATGCACACAATGAGGCACCCTGTCACCTTAGGATCCAGAGTGCCACTGTGTCCAGTCTTCTCCACTCGAAGGATGCGCCGGATCCATGCAACCACCTCGTGAGAGGATGGATTGGAAGGTTTGTCAAGGTTAATAAAGCCAGACCTATAATGCAAAGGGTCAGAAAGCAGGAGCTAAGCATCAGGGCAAACACAGCAACAGTATCAGATGACAACTTTGACAATATTTGTCATGGCTGCAAAGAAATGCATTTCTATACAGCCAGACAAGCAATGGGCCTCAGAAGCTGTCAGAGAGCACACACTGAGCTGCTGCACGCACAACAGGTGATATGTTCCATGGTCAAAGAATTCTCTTCTCCCATGACGGCTCATCACTACTCTGCACTTAAAAGAAACCAAACTGTACAAACTCCAGGCAGTCTCAAAGCCTAGCAGGGCAAAGGACTTTCCCAAAGACCCCAGAGAATTCCTGAAGTGTTTGCATGTTCCTCCACAAGCCCAGAAAAACGCAGACTTGACAGCGACCAGTGGGTCCTATTTAGATGTTTACTGATTAGTGGCAGGGCACTAAGTCAAGCAGCAAAGTACAAGAGGAATCCAGAACAGGAAATGTTTTAAGGACATTAACTGAAAGGAAAATAAACCACTCTGGACCTTATTGCACTCACCTAACATAGTCAGAAATTTCTCTCTTCAGGGGATTAGCACCGGAGGGAAGAGGTGTGTAGTGTGTTGTCCTCACGTTTAACTTGTCAAAGTTCTACAAAAGCCAAGCAAAAGTTACAAGTCTGCTTGAGTTCACTCTGATTTCAGCACTGCTGAAACTCTCCACTGAGGACACAAGGTCTGATTTGCAAGTTGAACCGACAGAGACACTTCCAAAATGAAAATGGCCCCACAATGAAACCACAGCAGTGTTTTACAGAATGAGAAACAGAAATCCTGGGCTGAAAGTGACAGGCAAGTAGAATAATACACATCTTTACAATTCAGGAGAAATCTCATATGCCCCAGAAACTCAGCACAAGCAACTCAGGACTCTACAGGCCACAGTCAGACCGAAATAGGAGGCTGAAGAAATTTGGCGGGATCTTTACAGGACACAAAGAAGTTACAAAACAGGCGTGTAATTGGTACTGCTGGACAGGCTTTATAACAGATTTCTGCACGCACACGTCTTGCAAGCTATTGCTTGCAGTGAGGTTACACAAAGGAGCAGTGCACCTCCGCGGGCAGGGGACAAAAGGAGGAGCAGGGATGGACCACGAGGTCGTGCACGACTCGCCGTACCTTCAGCAGTAAGGGCCACTGCGACGTGTCCAGCTGGGCGATCCGCGACTCGGGCTTGATCAGAAAGTCCTCCGTGCGCTGAATGTCCTGAGGGGGAGTTACCGTGGATCAGAGGCGGCAGGG